GACAACACTGGAGACTGTTGACATTTATTTTATGGACAAAACCACACTGAGATATTTTCTTCATCATCTTTTGTGCTGTGAGAAAAAAGAAAAGCATACAGGTTTGGAACATCATGAGGGTGATCTTTTCTCAGCGGGAAACGTGGTGCAAGAGAAGGAGGTGGAACTTGTTGCTCGTGAAGGTCGAACTGGTTCTGGAATCAGTAGTCCCACCTCAAGACCCCCCAATTCCCTCAAACTAAAGAGATGCTATCTGCTGGTCTAGAGACAGTATTTATTAAACATGTCAACATGACTGAATGCCTCAGGGTCAGCACTGAAACTACTGACATTTTCTGCTGGGTTGGAGAGTGTTATGGGATGGAGAGTCTAAACAACAATACCTGAAATTCTCAGCATATGTAATGGGAGCAAGATGCTGGGTTTGCATCACCACAGGCAGTCTGTTTGAAAAAAACTCTGATTAACATTTCTTACCAAAAGGAATAATACCAATTTGTTCATAACACTATTGAAAGGCCAGCAAATGATGTAAATATTAAATTGTGAACAAATGTAATTTTTAGTTAACACATTAGGTTCAAAGTACTATGTGTAGTGTTTAGATTGTGAGGATGACATTCAAATGCTGGAGAGAGGTACAGTGGATGGATGCAGCAGAGCTCTTTGCTGGGCTCACAAAAACAAAACAAACCAACACACACACACACACACACACACACACACACACAAGCCCCCCCACACAACTAAACAAAACTAAAAACACTAAACAGAACAAAAACAAAACAGATCAAAACAATACAAACCAAAACTAAAACAAATCTATGGAAGCATATTTCCGCCAAAAAAAACTTTTCAGTTACTTTTTTTTCTCAGAATTGTGAGATATACATTTGCAACAGAGTTATAAAGCCAGAATGGCAGGATATAAACTCGCAATTGTGAGAAAAAAAAAGTCAGAATTGTAAATTTCACAATTCAGAAATATAAAAAAAGTCTGAATTAGGCTTGCTGCGATAGACGGTGCTAACGGTTATACCGGTGCTAACCGCAACACCGGTTACGTCACTTTCCCACCGCGGCACCGACCCCCACCGTCGTTTTGATTTTTTTATAGTAATAAAAATCATTTAGTTCAGTAAAAGAACAGACACTACAATTAAAAACTGAACGCGGCTGCTCAATGCAGCGTGCCGAACGACAACTGCATCACAGATCAGATTTAATTTCTCCAGTGAGGAGAGTGAGTCAAGCTGACTGACAAGAAGAGTGGGGTGAGACAGCCAAGACGATCGCGGATGATTTTGTTTCAAAACGAAATGCAAAAGCGCCTGTTTGGAAATATTTTGGATTTTGAAAAGCCTGTTGACTTTTGCCGTTTATCTAAGATGATTTTGGAAGTTTTTTTAAACATTCGTTTCTTATTTAATTGGTTCCACATTGTTTGCTGATTTTTACTTTATTTAAACTTTGTGTCATTTGTTTATTTATTTTTACATCAAGGTGTATGCCGTGCCTCCAAGCTTTCTTATTCGTTTTGCTAATAAACGTTTGTTCTTATTTATTTGGTTATATATTATACATGTTTACCTATTTCCAGTTTTGTATACCTATTTAAACTACGTAAGTTATTTTATATTAGGCATAGCCTGCCCTATAGCATGGTGTATTTTTATTTGTTTTGGTAATAAAAGTTCTATGTTTTATATATAGGCTAAAGTGAGTTTGACGTTGTATTTTGTTGTTGCATTCAAGCAATTGACCCCGAATTGCCGCAAATTCAAAAGTGAAAGTAAAATGTGCACGGTGCTTTTAAGCCATTTAAAAGCGAAGGAAAGCGAGGAAAAGAGAGGAAATTCAAATGAACAATTGCTTTACGCCGAATTGCCGCTATATGAAAGTGAAAGTAAAATGCTCATGCCGCTTTTATAAGCCATTTAAAAGTGAAGGAAAGCGAGGAAAAGATGGCACGCCCCTGCCCCTGCGGTGATACCGGTATTACCGGTGTTGTCACACGTCGATTAACCGGTGGGAAAATTTCCTCACTGTAACAACCCTAGTCTGAATTGAGAAAAAAAGTCAGAATTGCAAGATGTAAACTTGCAATTGCGAGAAAAATCTCAGAACTGTGAGATAAAGTCGCAATTACCTTTTTTTATTTCTTATTCAGTGGCGGAAATGGGCTTTCATACAAATCAAATCAAATCAAATCAAACCAAACTAAACCAAAAAAGACTTTAGAAATTAGAATTTAGAAATTTCAGAAACAAAAAAAAACTGTTAAACATAATTAATCATGTGCATTAACGCTTAATTGAAAATAAAAAAAGCAATAATTGTTTTTTTAAATTTTGGAGTTTTCTGAATGCACCACCCAAGGCCAAAGAAACACCTACGTGCCACAAGCTGACCTACATCAAATCAAACCAAACTAAACCAAAAAAGACTTTAGAAATTAGAATTTAGAAATTTCAGAAACTCAAAAAAAAAAAAAACTGTTAAACATAATTAATCATGTGCATTAACGCTTAATTGAAAATAAAAAAGCAATAATTGTTTTTTTAGATTTTGGAGTTTTCTGAATGCACCACCCAAGGCCAAAGAAACACCTACGTGCCACAAGCTGACCTAAATGATATGAAAAGCTGGATTATGCTCACTTATCAAAAAAGCCGAAAAAACACAACAATTAAAACCTTAGGCTGTGTTTTGTCTAGAAGCTCTGCTACTAAGCAACCAGATCTATTCTATAGGGCTATACTTATACATCCAGTCTGGTAACAGCTAAACCGGCATGAAAGACACCACCTCAATGAGTCTCTAGCTCAGGGTGGACTCTTAAATAATGTTAATGCATTACCCAGAATGCTGCTGGTACCTCCTATCTTGTGTTGAACTTGTTTTTTACTATGTGAATATAACCTAAGTTAAAGGGATAGTTCACCCAAAAATGAAAATTCTGTCATTAATCACTCGCCCTCATGTCGTTCCAAACCTGCAAGACCTTTGTTCATCTTCGGAAGACAAATTAAGATATTTCTGATGAAATCCGAGAGCTTTCTGACCCTGCATAGACAGCAATGCAATTGACACGTTCAAGGCCCAGAAACGTAGTAAGGACATCAATAAAATAGTCCATGTGACATCAGTGGTTCAACCTTAATTTTATAAAGCTACAAGAATACTTTTTATGCACAAAGAAAACAAATATAATGACTTTATTCGACAATTTCTTCTCTTCCATGTCAGTTCACGACAGTACTGCTTGTAAACAAGGTTCAGCACATACATCATGGTACTCTCGTGAACTCGCATCGAAGACAAGAAATTGTTCAAATATCTTATTTTGTGTTCTAAAGATGAACGAAGGTTTTACGGGTTTGGAACAACATGAGGGTGAGTAATTAATGACAAAATTCATTTTTGTGTGAACTATCCCTCAAAAGCTGAAATCCAAGTAAAAAGAGGAGTAGGAGAAAACAGCGTATAAAGAATACACCTTTTGAACAATGAATCATGATTTTTACAGTTGCTCATCATTAGTACATTGTTTTAAGATCGATATAAATATTTATACTGTATATACACATTACCATGACTGTGGGATTAAACGGCATTAAACTTCAATAGGTAAATTTACATTAAATTTAAACTAAACTATCAATACACTAATTTATACGTTAATTGATATTTTCATAGAGTTTGAATCACTACTGCTGTCGCCACTGAAAAACTAGTAGCTACTTTTAGTTACTCCCCAATACTGACTAAAGTACAAAATCTAAATTGCCCATCATACTGATTCCCAGCTGTTTTGAATAGTTGGCACGATAATCTGAAAAAGCCTGAGAGACACAGAGTTTCTACAGCAACACATTGAAGCAATTCATAGGTTTTCCACCCTCCTCGTTCACGCCTAGGTGTTTACATGATGATTTAGCCTAGCGATACCGTTCTTGTCTCTTTATCATGCCGGCTGAAGTACGACCGGAGCCTGTGCACGTTATGCCACTCTCCGTCCGCATTACATAGCTTTCAACATGACTGGCCCGGGGTCAGAGGTCAGGTGTGTTTACATCCACCGGGTTAACATTGTTCTGTGAAGAAACACTGATATCCTACCAGTGGCTCTGAGAGCATTTGGAGGAAACCCTGGCTGGACCATTAGCTTGAGGCTTATGTCTTTACGGTCCACATTTGTGTGTGCAGACGTACCTACACATCCATTAATGAGAGCCCAGGAGCTTTTTATTGCTTTCAGAACGTCTGTCTGAAGGATGGGGCTGACAGATCTGCCGCTAGCTGAAGGCCAAACCAGTGGTCTGACTGCAGCGTTTAGAAAAAAACAAGCTGTGCGGCATTACTTTAAGCAGACAGGGTGGCTTCAGAGAGCTGAACTACTCTAACAGGATGGACAGCATACCGCAAAAGAGATGGTCACATACAAGCATCCTTCTGCAGAGCTTTGAATCAAAGAGGCAGGATCTCACAGATTGTAAACAGGACCAGAGCAAAAAGGTTATTCATCACATGAGGCGTAGTTCAACAGAGGGCCGCGGTACTTTTCAGAAGGTAAACATGGTCTTCTGGACTCTATAAAACACTTGAGCCAAATTCTTTTTTATCAGTGTGCTCAAGTCGGGCCCTAAAAACCTAGAAATTTGGTGTGCTAATTAATTCAATTAATATTTACACTAAATAGTCGTCAGTGATATTCATTTAATTTTTCAAACGTTTGACACATCTATAACACACAGGAGCCACAACGGAAATTAATACCTGGAAGGCTGAGAGGTCCAGCAGGGCGAAGGTGTTGAGGAAACGCAGTCCCTGGAGGGCCACCTGGATGACGTTGGGGCTGTAAGGCTCCTGGGGGCCCACAGGGCCGGCTGAGAGAGAGTCAGGGAGGGCACTGTGGAGCAGGGTGCAGTATAGCATGTGGAGGACGCCCACCAGGTCGGTGCTTTGCAGGAGGGCCGTCAAACCGGTGGGGTCCTGACGTTTGTTGTCAAAGACGCTCAGGGAACTGAGAATGAGAATTGGAGGGTGAAAGAATTGCAATATGGTTATTATGCAATGTCCACTTTTTGAAAAAATACTACTACTACTACTAATTATTATTAGTATTAATTCTATTAAAATGTTAGATGGCTGCCAATAACAACAATATTAATAATGATGATGATAATAATAATAATATCATTATTATAAAATCTATTTAACTCATTTTATCATGCTGCCAAAACTATTTATAATAATAATAATAATAAACTAATACTATTACAACAACAATAATAATAATAATAATACGAATAAACTATTTTTAATGTAATTATTGGCAAAATAAGAAAGTTTTTAAAATCTAAAAATGTAAGACTTTTTTCATTCTATGCAGTGTTCTAAAGATTATGTAGTAGATCATGCATATCCATATAAATATGCATATAAAAATGTAATAAAAAATTGGATACACTTCACAGCATTCTCTTTTTTTTTTTTTTTTAAATAGAAGGCAGTATGACAATCTGAACGTAGCCTAAAATCAACAGACAGCTACAGACATTCAGAAAAAGCACATAACGTTGTGTAGGAAAATACTCTTATTTTCAAATATCCACAAAGAAGATCAATCACACATGTCGTACAAAAGACCACTTTGTTCAACAGGTAATACCCTTTAACCAGTGACTGACACGCAAGAAAAAATAAATTTTTTTTTTTTTTTTTTTTTTTTTTTTTTTTTTTTTTTTTAAATAGAAGGCAGTATGACAATCTGAACGTAGCCTAAAATCAACAGACAGCTACAGACATTCAGAAAAAGCACATAACGTTGTGTAGGAAAATACTCTTATTTTCAAATATCCACAAAGAAGATCAATCACACATGTCGTACAAAAGACCACTTTGTTCAACAGGTAATACCCTTTAACCAGTGACTGACACGCAAGAAAAAATAAAAATAAAAATCAGGGTCAAAAATACCGTTATTTTATTAGCAAGGCCAAAGGTGCTTCTCATTGTATCACGTGTATCAGGCCAGTACAAATAAAGTTCTCCTGCTTATGCACCTTTCAATCTGAATCACTGGCCACTGCACAGGGCTGTTGTATAGAGCACAGTGTGGCAAAAGGTGGCAGGGGTGTGGTCTAAAAGCATCATAACCTGAGGTGTTGATGGTTATTTGCTTAAGCCACAAAAACTGAAGACCCAGGATGTAGGGGAGTGTGGGATGTCTTGTCCCCGCAGCTTCTAGATTTACTTGCTAGACCAGAGCCTGTCCGTTCTGATATAAATAACGAAGGCAAGCCCCATCTGTGAAGCATGCCTATGGGGCAAATATGTTTAACTGGTAACATTTGGCCCTGCCTGGCTCAGGAATGAACACTGAGACACAGTGAGGGTGGCTGTAATCTAATATATGAAGAGAGATAAGAAAGACTTTACACTTCTGAGCCTGGGATCAGGGACTGGAGATCAGAGAGAAAGACACAAAGAACAGATGAGTAAAATAGAGATACAGGAGAAGAAAGAAGGGGCTATACATACATGCATACATATATGTATATATTATATAGTGTAGCGTGACGGATAAAATGTGATGGACAGAACTAAGTATAGAATAGATGTATAAAATGTATACTTACATGGACTAAATATGATGATAGATAGATTAAATGCATGAATGTATGGAAAGAAGACAATAGAGCATTTTATTTCTATAAAATGAATATAGAATGAAAAGCAAGACATTTTTATAGAATTAATGTGTAGAAGTGTAGTTATGGATAGAACATGGTGCACAAACAAATAATGAATGCATAGAGATGACAATGTAGTGGAGAGATATAGAATAAATGTGTAGACTGCATAAACAGAATGTTTTGGACAAATGTATAGAATAAATGTGTATAAATGTACAGAGGAAAACAGTATATAGTGGCCAATGCTTAGAATGAATATATAGAATTTGATAGAATGTGAAAGACAGATATAAAGAATGAACATAGAACTTATGGAGATGGACAGAAAGTGGTGTATAGAATAAATATATATAATTTATAGAGATTAGATAGAATGTGATAGATTTATAGAATTAATGTACTGAGATGATAGAATGTGTTAAGAAAGAATGAATATATAGAACATATTGAAATGGACAGAATGTGGTGGCCAGATGTGTAGAATATACAGAGATATGGACAGAATGTGGAACAGATAAAAAATAATCATACAGAGACAAATGCAATGTGACAAACTTAAAGATAGAATTAATGTATAGAACAGGGGTGTCCAAACTCGGTCCTGGAGGGCCAGTGTCCTGCCGAGTTTAGCTCCAACTTGCCTCAACACACCTGACTGGAAGTTTCTAGTATGCCTAGTAAGAGCTTGATTAGCTGCTTCAGGTGTGTTTAATTAGGGTTGGAGCTAAACTCTGCAGGACACCGGCCCTCCAGGACCGGGTTTGGACACCCCGGTATAGAATATTTAAAGAAGTGGACAGAATGTAATTGACAGATTTACATAATGAATATCTAGAGTGTAGGGAGAGATGGATGTAGAGGTGAGGTAAGGACAATCTATAAATGTGACAAATCACCAGCTGATCAGGTGAATCTTGGGGAAATTGAGCCTCTAAGGCTAAGAAGCTGACCGTCCAAACATCTCATAAAACAATGACAATCCTGGAGCGCTCCACACAGCAACAGAAGAGCCAAAGTGGAGGGAAGCCTTGGAACTTGGACAGCCATCTGTCAGCCAATAGCACTGGCTCCACAACTATGCAAACTCACCTCACTCTCTGGCCATCTTGTGTTGCAGCACATTTAATTAAGACCCATCTTACCAGATTTACAGCAGTATGTTTGTGTGTCTCAGTCAGGACAACACCCTGCAGATTAGCAGGATTGGTAACTTCATACCCCTGAGGGTCTGAGCAGAAGCGCTCCTTAAGGCTGATCTGAGACCAGATCTTCTGTTACCGTCTCAGTGGCAAGAGTCTGGATTTTGGCATCAAGGGCTGATCCCTAAACAGCACAAAAGGGGCAGGTTCTACAAGGTGTCACATTGCAGTTGAGGATACGTCCGTGAACACTACACCAAGTGCACTGGAGGGGAAACAGACCTTTTGGTAAGCCAAGAGGGGAAAGGAGTGTCAAGCTCGGTGAGGGGGAAACCTCACCCTCGGCAATGAGATCACAGCAAGTGCAAGAGATCGGCTACTCGGGAATAAGCTTCCGGGTGGAAGCCACCTTGTGTGACTGATCTCGGCTCTGTGCCTCTCATCTACATTTAACCTTAACCGGCGAAAGAAAATCCCCAGAACTGGTCTCAGTTCAGAAGAGAAGGGCAGTATCTGCAGAGACAGTCGTGATCAGTGTCCACATGAGGGAACAAAGACTTGGTTCTCACAGAGTGACTGTGCATGACGTACTTCACAGCTCCTGACCCTGAAACAGGAGACAGCAGAGTGGGATGAAAGTGAAAGGCCTGACAGAGGCAATTTGAGCCTAACCACTGACCCCAAATCAGCATTGTCTGATCAGATCCATGCTTACAGCTAAACCTATGGTAATGCTGTTAGCGTCTATCTGATTTAAAGAGGACAAGATAAAATATATCTGGAACTCTGATTTGCCATGAAACTATTTCCTTGAAGGAAAAGGACAATTTAATGACTCGAGAAAAAAATAAGGTTCCTAAGTCGGTCAAGGTGTCTAAAACTCTGCTGGATCCTTGACACCATGGCATAGAGTCGGAAAGGGAATGGGGTCAGTGTCCGAATATGCCCCCGGAACCATTTCCCGGTCTCTCTCCCAATACCTTCTAGTTGCTTTACACCAGGAGTGTTCAGACTTGCTTCTGTTGATTTGAATTCAACCCTGACCAAACTCACCTGCGCCAATAATCAAGGTTTGCAAAGTTTTCAAAGACAGCAGACAGGTGTATTAGACCAGAAACTTTGCAGGAAGGAAGATCCCCAGAAGCAGGATTGCGCACCCCTGCTTTATAGCAAGGAAAAGCCCCATTAGATAGCTTTAAAAAAAGAAAGTCCCCTGATCCAAAGCAGAACAAGCAGATACTCCACCATTTCAATCTATTCTGACTGCAACACAAGCCACAACTCAAAAGCTAACATGTCGTCATTAGCTCAGCACAAGTGCTCCTTGACAAGCTTTCATTGGCGTTGATGACTATCGATATTTAATCCCACCAAATACACTGGTAGTCGGTGACAGAAACACAAAGCACATGCTGTAAGAACAAATCCCAGGGTCTGGCAACTGCAAGTGAGCAGAGCAACTCGGAAATGTCTAACATGAACCACAAAGGGACAACTTCCTGGCCTTCAGCATAGTGAAGAATGACGGAATGGAGCGTTGACTTGATTATGAAAGATGTTGATTATGCTGCTGAGCAGGACTATTAAAGAGAAGAACTGGCACTGGAGTTTCTCACAGATATTCAGTGTCAGAAGCCAAAGGATGTTGGGAGAGACACTAGAGTTGTCATAACCAGCTGGGTGGCGTTATAGCATGCAACAGCTGGAACAGAACATAGCTGGCCAATAAAGGAGGAGCTATGCCCTTTGAAGAAACTCCAAAACCCAAGTGGAATGGACTGAAATATGAATTTGGGCAAATGCAAGGACTCATTCAGACTATAGTGGAGATCAAGAGAGTTTCATTCAAATTGTTCTGAAACACATCAGTAGCATGGTTGAAAATATATCACTATCACTTTCTTCCTACCTTTTATCACACCTTACAATCAGGTCTTTTTTTCAACATCACATTTCATGTTAGATCGTGTTTTCACAATGTACACAAATGACCACTCCTAAAATGTTTACAGTGCAATTTAACGAATGTCGAAAGCAACAGTGCAGCATCACAGCGATTAGTCTTTTCTGCAAGTCAGGGTCAGAGGTTAAAGGCGGGATATCACAAACTGTGACTGTGGTTAGCCTCTGTCAGCAGTTGTGCATGCACAAACGTACTCCGATGCACATGTGGGTGGGCCGCAGGCAGAAGTTTACAGTGCGGGGAGACAGAGCTGCGGGGCTGCTAGATGACTATCAGCACAGGCTCTGCAGGGCTAGTGTCAGACACTGGGAAATGAGCTGCTGATTGATGGGGCTGCTGTCTCTGGTCTGCACCTCTTCAGACATCTGAACAACAAAACTACAGTGGACTTCATCTATTAATTCAGATAGGAATGAGGTTATATACTAGTCTGGGGATGTTTGGGAAGGGTGCAACCACTATAAATAGATACTGTGGACGTATCATGGTACAGTGATTGTAGTATGATTGAACTTTAAGAACCCTATAGTACTAAATATCAACCATGGTAACTAGTAATTCAAAAGCAATTCAAAGAATACCAAAATATTGTAAAGATGTCCTGGTATATGCCATGCTACTTTTTTGTAAGCAGACTGGAGGGGCATTTCAAAGAGTGGATGACAATGGAGACAAATGAAGTAAACATTAGAAACTACTCACCGTCCAGTCACAGCAAAACACAACTTGCACATCCCATGGAGGACAGCTGTGGCTTGCTCGAGAAAGGCAGCCATCTTGGGACTCTCGTCAATCGGTCCTTGTATGGACAGGAAACAGCCATACAGCTTGTCAATCAAGCCCATGTTCACCACATAGCTGAGGGAAACAAGCCGAAATGCATCAGACTTGGACTTAAAAAAACATTCGAATGACAATCCCATGAATCATTTCCTTGAGTGGATTTTGGGTATATTTATAGTCAACATTTGTTTTCTGTTATTCGCCATTTTGGATGAATTTTCCACCAAGTTTGCCACACTACGTGGGATTGCCTTCTCTGGGGAAAATGTGAAGGTGCCTTAAAGGGTTAGTTCACCCAAAAATGAAAATTCTGTCATTAATTACTCATCCTCATGTCGTTCCAAACCCGTTTTTTTTATGCTTGTTTACGTCAGTACCGCGATGCAGGTGTGTGCGCATTGCTCTGCTTGCGTCGTGGTACTGTCGTTAACTTGCATCGAAGACTGACAGGGAAGAAAATAAGTTGTTGAATAAAGTCATTATTTTTGTTTTCTTTGCACACAAAGCATTCTCGTAGCTTTACAAAATTAAGGTTGAACTACTGATGTCACATGGACTATTTTAACGATGCCTTTACTAACTTTCTGGGCCTTGAACGCGTCAGTTGCGTTGCGGTCTATGCAGGGTCAGAAAGCTCTCGGATTTCATCAAAAATATCTTAATTTGTGTTCTGAAGATGAACGAAGATCTTACGGGTTTGGAACGACATGAGGGTGAGTAATTAATGACAGAATTTTCATTTATGGGTGAACTATCCCTTTAATATTGGCTTAAATGAGAGCAGCTTATGGTTTTGGACTTTCTGTAACAGGCTTCAAAGTGGCAGCACACTTATGATACCTTAAAATGCTGTTTAAGTAGACAGCTCACGGTCATGAAGGCCACTGCAATCCAGAATACTCCTGGCCTGAAATCTGAGCTCTCATCTGAGCTATGTCTATATCGCTAATTTGTCTGGTCAAATGAAAGGTCTCATGACCGTGTTGGTCCACACCCTCCTGGCTACAAATCAGGCCTAATTACAGTATTAGTGGATGACTGTGTCTCCGTGTGCCAGCTCAGATCTAGAACAGGAGAAAAGTCCCCCTTCTTCCCTCATGGCTCAGGTATTCTGCCCTCCACCCTCTCGCACTGCTGAAAGTCTCCTGGCAGTCAATCACTGGACCTCCCAGCGAAGTCTGGGCCAGCGTTTTGTGGCTTCAGCGCAGCAAAGAGCTGAGTCAGTTGCAGAGCCGCATCTCACACCCTCTACTTTAGCTTCTGTTTCCCAGTCTGTATCTTTCTCCCCTTCATTCTCTCTTTTCTACTTCCCTCATACCTCATTTTGTTATGGCTGTCAGTCAAATGAGGCTGCACTCAATTAAGGTAATTACAATTCTTCCTCCCCCTTCTTCTCAACAGGTCGGCCATCACCTGAACTAAAGCCCCTTGTTATGGCTTTATCCTCCTCTTGGGTTTGGCTCAAGCAGAAAGCGGCTTTCCACACACCATTGTGCAGCCTTTCAGACACTTCATCCTGGCAACATAAGCCAAAGTAATCAGTCACGATTAGGTTCTTCCAAAGGTCTAGCGGACCTGGATGTGACTTATTCAGAGTTTTTCCACCTACATCAAATTCAATTCTACAAATTCTGACCACTATCATTTGGTTTTCACTTTATTTTCTACATCGGACCGATACTGAGAGAAATGTGACCATTTTTTGGATTTGTGGCCAGCTGTTAATGCCTACATTGAGCCTTGCTGGTCATATGGGAAATGCAGGGTTGAATCTGGTCTTTGTACTACTTCTATTCCCCCCACAAGTCTGTTTCCTTTTTACTTTTGCAGTCAATGAAAAACTAAAAAGGACAATTTCTTCTCTGCAGTTTTATTTTTGGTGATCCAGACCCTGCTTGGTCTGTTCCGGCCATGTCTGTAAGGTCACTCCACGGTCACTGCACTGGGCTTGAGACTGCTCGTGTCAAACAAATCATGGGAGGGAACACTGAGGGATTGTGGGAAGCTTGGGATTCTTAGCAGGCTGGGCTGTCTGCCTTTCCTCAGAGAGCAAGGGAAAGCCCAGCACTGGCGCTCTCCTCCACACTGCCCTACTCTAATGTGGAGTTCAACTTCAAGTCGTGCACTTCCAGAAGGGAATTTTGGCTGATGTAAAGATGAAAAAACTTTGGTTTAGAGCACGGATATAAGAAGGAGTTTCCGGCTAAGTTAGGAAAGAGGTGCATCCAAGAACATACTCCACCTAACAAATGTGCAGAAAGCCAGGGACCTAATTTTTCAACGACACGTAGAAAATGTTCTATATTTTGTCCTACGAATGAAATTTAGAATGTAAGCACAAAAAAAATCCATATTTATCAAACGTGCGTATATGGTTCTTACACACACCAGTAAGTAATCATTGTTGATAAATCCCACACGTTCTTAAGCACCATGCTCGTTCACGTTCATGGTCAATAATATTCAGAAACGCCTCCAATAAACCATATATGGTGACAACACCTCCCTTTATAAATCACGTGAATGTATAACTGTCCTCACCGAAATCATGGCAAAGAAAATGGTACCGACTAGGGCTGTGCGATTTGGAGGAAAAGATCAAATTGCGATTTTTTTGACAGATATTGCGATTTTAAATTTGCAAAGTCAAGCTTCAGCTCAATATTGCCAATAATGTGCAGCACAGTATGGGTATCATTACCCTGCTGAAAAAAACAATAGAAACCATCACAGAAATTCTTATAGTTTCCATTAAACCATTACAAAATTCCTTTTTGTTTTGGGCATTATTCCAATAGGAATTACTGTTGTTCTATTGGTTCCCATCTGCCAGATTATATCCCACCAATAGAATCCATCAAATAGACACCATTATAGTTTACATTAAAACCAATACAATTCCCATTATAACCCTGAAATCCATTACATTTGCTATTGTGTTTTGGGAGGGGTTCTATTGTTTTTTTTTCAGCAGGCAAGATTATAATGGTATAATATAATAAGTCAATTATTAAAGTATTACATATGTTACATAGGCTGATTTATTCATTTTAAGTATTTGGGATTTTAAGAGCAAGTGGAAAATGTGCTGAATGTTTCATTTCATCCAAGTGAAATTAGCAAGCAGTTAGACTGAATTTACACTTGTTTTAAACGCAGAGCCAGGCGCGAGTCGACACAGGTTGCGCGCGAGCGTCAAGCCTCATCCATACTGTCAGATGCGCTCGTGGAGACTTGCCGTGTGGAGCCGGGTGCGAGTATAAACTAGCATTACGAGACAGGCTGCGTGAGTGCGGCAAGCATGAACGGCTCGTCCGTGACGTGGGATTTGCGCCACGTGGGGCAGAGAGGAGCGAGTATGAGAAGCATTCACAGACACAGGCTGTGTGTGCGCTCTTCTGAATTGGGAATAGCGAACATGCATAAACTTATTTCAAATTAATCTGTTGGGGAGATGAAATGTGTAAGATAACATTCACATACTAACAAAAACATCTAAGAATGTATCTTTTATTCTCCAGTACTGAAAACAGAACCGATACGGGAGGTTTTGATATGCGCTGTGACGCAGCTCTTGGAAATTACCTTTTTTGTCCGTTGTCTGTCATTTCAAAGCTTAAGTTGCATACGGTTTTCTTTAGTTTTAATTTGCCTAACTATCGATCTGACTCAGTAGACCCCATAATCCCACTCTGTCTCTCTCCCGCTTTCCGTTTTTTTTTTTTTTTTTTAATGGGGGGTGTTTACGCAGTTGGCTAGAGCAGTGCTGATTGGGGAGAACGGAGGTGCGCTCACTCTATTGGTTAGTAAGACTGCAACTCAAGGCTGGCAGTCATGCATATGCTCTGGAACAGAGTAATATCGTGTCCATATCGCAGGCTTTGCGATTAGGAAATCGCAACATCTCAAATCGCGATTTCGATTCGATTTCGATTAATCGCACAGCCCTAGTACCGACTGAGAAGCCATTCTGTGCTCTCACTAAACAGATCAGCGAGCTCTTTGAAAACGCGTTCTCTGCACAGTGCATGGTTTGCCTAATCTTCCAGCAAAGCGAGATCAGCCATGACACTATAGCTACATTTCAAATGACTTGGGTTTGGTATTTTTGTCTTGTTTCTAGTTAAAATATCTAAAAATTCTTAAATCAAGATGCATTTACTATATAAGCAAAAAGATATTTAGTCTGGTTTCCTGGGGGAAAAAAAAAAAAATCTAAATTAAGTGCATTTTGCTTAAAATAAGTAAAATCATCTGCCAGTTGGGTAAGAAAAATAATCTTGTTTTAAGAGGATTCTACTTGTTTTAAGCTAAATTCACTTTTTCCCCTCAGGAAACAAGACTAAATATCTAACGTCTTTTTGCTTGCATCTTGATTTAAGAATTTTTAGATATTTTGACTAGAAACAAGCCAAAACAAATAGTTTATTGCTTTTTACACCAATTATGCAAATGTCTAGCTTGAACTATGAATTTATAAATTGAGTATTTGCAATTAAATAATACAGGAAATACGCAGCGGCACGTTCTTTTTGTAGTATCGCCATTCTACCACTAGATTCTCTGCGTAAGCATCCTCAAAGTTGTGCTTATATTTACACACATTCTTACGTTTAAGTACAAGTTGGTAGATCCCACACTTTGCGTGAAACTGTTCTTACGCACTCATTACGCACACATCTGTGCGTACGCACGGTTGATGAATGAGGGCCCAGGTCTTTATTAACTAAACACAAGATTATGTCATTAAATTGGAGTAGACTTTTGAACAAATTTCCTAATTGTCTGTTCATGCTAACCTCTGGATCCATTCCAAGAGATCATTCCCTGCACAAGGGATCTCATTCCAAACTTTGAGAAATTCTTGCGTATTTTACATTGGAAAAAATATTGTTGCTAACAAGAGCCATGTCATGTTTTCCTGCTTCCATTTGCCTGATGAGCAGAAGGTGAGGTGTGTGGAAAAGGGAAATGAAAAAGGCAAACTTTAAGACTGCAAAGTAATTCAGGTAACTATGTACACTTTGCACTTGTTTGACTGATTTTAAACCAGCACTGTTGTCCAAAAATGAATATGATTATGTAACTTATGTGTTACTCAAACATAAGATTAGCATTCAAGAAGCTGAATCAGGAAGAGTCATGGAAAGAAAACAAAGCAATAACCTGATGAGATCTTGAGTACGCGTGTTGAAGTTCTCACTGGCAACAGGTTTGCTCTTGGCATCCGGAGTGCATATACGTGGAGGATCTCCATCCAAATTAGGTGGGTGCAACTGCCCCAGTACCTTGGCTACTGTCTGCAGAAGACCTGTAGTCAAACCCTCAAAGACCTGCTTATTGACACTGCGGCCAAAGATGGAATTGTCCTCATCTGGCACGAAGAGCTACGGAAACAGGTATAGATGTGTTAGACAGCATTGATGGAAACAGAAAAAGCCATTGTGAGAAGTAGTCACTACCCTGATTTTTAGGTCACTACCCTGATACTACCAAGAAAAAAAGACAATGGTGTCTAGACACGTTGGAGCTTTCAGGTTTCATCAAGAGCTACAGATGAAACATCTTTGTCAACGGCTCTCAACATGTCTATGAGCGTGTCAAACATGGGAAGGTCTAAAACTACAGTCATGTTCAAACAACTGTAGGCATTTTCTTTAAACTCTGTTTAGAGCTTTGATACAATGTCGTTACCATAACTTACACTATTAATCTGCAAATCCTTCTTTTGCTGCAGTTTACAAAAAACACAATCATATTAATTGCATCCCTACAAGATGTACAGTTTTCAAAGCAAACATTGAAACCGATTTGGAAATGTCTAAAAATACCTTTTTAAATTTGCAAACACTTGCTCAACTGACTGATGGCTGCCTCGTACACCAATCTTGGCAGTGACGGACATCTGAGATCAGTCAACAACGACCCGTGCTGGTCTCAATATCCGGCCCAGCACTGTTGCACAATAGACAGGGTCATTTAACCTCAGTTTGCATTTTAAAACATGTCCAATTAAAGCAGAGGCTTCAAATAAAAAGGATCCTGTCCTCTTTTGTTTCCACGCGTAAGCCATTAATCTTTGGTTGGAATCCTGATCCTCTAGCGCATAAATAACTACAAGGGTGCTGCTCTATTATTCATCAGCTCTAGGTTATAAATTGGTAGTTACAACTCGAAGCGACATTGTCACTGGTGGCGTGCCAATGGCGGACATACGAGAGGTATTCCCTTGTTGGCGGGCACCACTGGCAGGCTTGAGAAAGATGGGTCATGTAACAAGAATGGGAGCAAGGATAGGGAACGTTAATGGATTTTTTCACTCAATGTTTATGCATCAAAGAGCGAAGCTTGCAAGGGCAATAATGTAAACCGTCTTCTTCCATGATCATTTTCTTTCACGCCAACTACTGCCACAAACAGAATTATAATGGCGAGTTAGTTAATGCTAATTAAACCGTCAGCATGTTTATAGCTACCTACCTGAACCTTGAATAAAGTTTGTTGCTGCCACAGTAATGCAAGGACGTATATTTAGCCAGTACAACTGGACCGTGATTTTAGATTTCTTAAAAAATAAAAATGCTTGTATTTAAAAACACTAATATTTAACATACATACATACATACATACATACATACATACATACATACATACATACATACATACATACATACATACATACATACATACATACATACATACATACATACATACATACATACATACATACATACATACATACATACATACATACATACATACATACATACATACATACATACATACATACATACATACATACATACATACATACATACATACATACATACATACATACATACATACATACATACATACATACATACATACATACATACATACATACATACATACATACATACATACATACATACATACATACATACATACATACATACATACATACATACATACATACATACATACATACATACATACATACATACATACATACATACATACATACATACATACATACATACATACATACATACATACATACATACATACATACATACATACATACATACATACATACATACATACATACATACATACATACATACATACATACATACATACATACATACATACATACATACATACATACATACATACATACATACATACATACATACATACATACATACATACATACATACATACATACATACATACATACATACATACATACATACATACATACATACATACATACATACATACATACATACATACATACATACATACATACATACATACATACATACATACATACATACATACATACTATTTAACATACATACATACATACATACATACATACATACATACACACTAGGGGTGGAACGGTTCGTGGAAAAAAATCGAACCGTACGGTTCTCCACACACGGTTCGGCACACGCTAGGACCGCGTTTAACTTTAATCTGACAATGCATCTGTAATATGGTTTGCTATAAATAACATGTAAAACAAACAGGGTTCGTGGACAAACCATTCACTTTTGTTCAATGCAAATGCCGTATGATGGAATATGAGCATTTATTCCGTCATCACCCGGAATATCTGTGTTTAAGCTAAACTCATTTCAGCTTTGCCAGTTAAAAAATTTAAGAGCCAGAGGACACAAGCTTGCGTGCGAAGTGATAAGATTTGTGCGTGTGCTCATCCGAAGTGCGCAAACCCATGCCTCAGAACCAGAACGCGCGCAAATATTAAGCTCTCTCTAAAGTATTGTGTTAGACCTACCTACACCCCCACCCCCCCCCCACACACACACCTACACGCACACTCACACACACTCACTCACTCACTCACTCACACAACACTCCCCCCCCCCCCCCCCCCAAAAAAAATCACTGTTTATTTTATTTGTATCTTTCCTCTATTGTGCTGTTGCTTGTAGTTCAATAGATTATTCTTATTTTCTTTTTTTATTTGACAGTATAGTTTCCCTAAACATAGCACATAACGAACAGTACCGAAACCGTGACTCTAAAAACATGATACAAACCGAACTGTGAGTAAGTTGAACTGTTCCACCCCTAATATATACATATATATAATTTATATTTGAAATAAATGAATGAATTAGTGAGTCTTACTTAATTAGAAAAAAAACAATTCTGTAGCATATTTATTAATTTCCCAAAACATGACCATTTTGTTGTTTGCTATTATATATAAGGTTTAATGCATTTAGGTGGTTTAAGACTACTCAGACATCATTGGTTAAAGGCAAGAGATAAAAACAGACTTTAGCACAGGTACAGCCCATGTTAAAATGGCAGTTTTTACAGAGGAGTAGGTTAGTATGCTGAGAGAGCAGGCAAAACCAGCTACATTCTCCACAAATCTAATTACAGAGAAGGGAAGGGTAGACGCCAATACTGGCCACACTGAAACACACACACACGTAAACCGCTACATAGGTCAGCTTGCAAAAATAACTTGAATATCGTTCTTTACTGACTTATTCACTTCACTTGGGTGACTATTCTGTCCGTTTATATCAATCACATGTCAAATAATCAGCGGGCTGACTGACTGTTGTGTTGAGTTTGAAATAAACCCCTGTACCCCCAGGAAATATTATGGCTTTTAGACTGGGACGCACACTGACTGGGGCTTAATGATTTGCCAAACCAATGTTTCTTGCGCAAACACACACCCGCAAGCCCTATATGACTCAGTCACTGGGTCTCATTCACTAACTGAATGCACATATTAAAACGTAAAACCTGCATGCACAGACATGATTCATCAAAATCTGCATGTACATTACAATGCAATGTGTTAAACTTACTCGCATATTAGTAAATTAATAAAACTGACTCCTCATTTGGTCTCCACATTATGTCACAGTAACAAAAATGATATGGGATATGTTCTGCATGAAAATGCAGCCAATTATGTGCAATTTGGGTCTATATATATATATATATATATATATATATATATATATATATATATATAAATAAAAGGTGTTAGCACCTGTTGCAAATTCAGTGGAAAACGTTTCTGTAACTGTTTATGATGTTCTTTTCAATCAACGCTGAGAAACTTATGCAAACAACCCCACTGGCATCTGTGTCTTTCCATACTTAGTCTCAATGACATCTTAAAAAGCTGAAGCGTAGCATGCTTTAAAAAAAAAAAAAAACCCTTTGCCAAAAATCAAAGGACAGGATGGTGGGAGAGATGGACGGGGCGGGTGGGTTACGCTGAAGTACAGACAAAAAATAAGGGATAGACGCAATGCGAAATGTGATTCAGCAGTAGAGCTTTCCCAGAACTTAAGATGATTCAGTGAGTCATATAAACAAGAGAAATGTTGTATGTATTAAAATCCATTTTGGCGCTTGCTTTAAACTGGTAGATGAGCTACATATGCTCTGGCAATATGAAGAAGACAGAAATGGCCCTTTAAACATGACAAACATCACTTCAGGCCTTTAAAAGCTGAAGTGGAAGTCACATCCTAAAAGTATTAGTTCACCACAAAAACGAAAATTCCATCAGTTTTTGCTCTCCATGTCGTTCCAAGCCCGTATTACTTTTTTTAAGTGGAACACAATAGGAGATATTTTAAACGAAGTACTGGTCGCTCTTTTACATGCAGTCATAATAAATGGGAAGTGGTTTCCATTTATTATGCATCTCTACATAATTGATAAAAAAATAAATAAAAAAAAAACACTTTACGATTTTCAGTTAAATAAACTGGTAATTTATAGTAAATACATTTCTGTCACAGTTTCTTCAAGTTAAAGCAAACTTTTATTTTGACGGGTTGTGAAGACCTTTAGGTTTCTGTGTGTGTATGATATGACAATAGTTTTTCTCACAAGAAACAGTAAATGCTAATGAAGTGACTCTCAGAGCAGTTCTAGATATCATGTGCGTGTGTTCATCTGCTCATATATTGAGGCAGCAGAGGGTGAAAAAAGCCAGCATCACGCGCATGTGCGTGTAGTAAACGAAATCGCGCGTCTGCGCCATTCTTTCACACAGAGATGCGCAGAACATGCAGAATTCATATTTAAAGAGTCTTTTTGCGGCTTAATATTCACAGACACTAGTCTATGTCGCATTTTGATTTTAAGTGTACTGACCTACTTTTGATTTATTCATCCAAAATTTGGCAAATTCCGTGACATTCTGCATTATATGGTAAATTCTGTTTTTATGACCGGATTCCACAATTCCGTCCGCGTTTTCCGCATCGTGGAAATCATAGGGCTCTACATTATGTGGAAACAGGTGGCCAGGATATTACAATTTTGGGATGCACAGAAGAAAGTAAGTCAAAGTTTTGGAATGACATGAGGGTGATTTTTATTTTTGGTTGAACGATCCCTTCAAATGACAATAGTGTAGTGACAAAAACGTGGATTTACGGCACATAAAGATCCTAAAACCGAGCATGATTAGGCAAACTCAAGTAAGCATGAGCCACTAATACTCACTGTCAACTGATGGAGGAGAAGGTCCATGAGAAAGGTAATTTTGTTGCTGTAGAGAACATAGGAACAGTTGTTGTGGCAGTGTACACAGGACAGGTAATACGTATTCACGGCAGTGCAGAGTGACCTAAAGAGAAAGAGAGAGGGGGGATTAGTTTTCAAAAGCCGACTGCTTCTCCTGTATTGAGGTTTCCATCTAAATGATCAGGATACAAAGCAGGCCCCATATAAACATTTCAGGGTTACTCTGACTCGCAGTATAAAAGATCGCCAATCAGATGAGCCGGGTTCTCTGCCGTAATACAGTAAGGTTATCTGAGGAAATTGACACTTAAAGCTTAGAGTGTGAACATCGCATGCAATCCAAGAAGCATGACAACACTTGGAATATTACGCTCAAGGGAGTTTCTCTCAGGAACAGCTCCTTACGCAATGCTGAGGAAACATGAGATGTGCCCGAATGAGGGCTCAGTCGCTCACAGAAAAGAACGACCGTGGTATTAGTATGATTTTTTTGGGACATGATACCATGGTAAGGTTTTTTTTTTTGGTCACACTTTATTTTAAGGTCCAATTCTTGCTATTAACAAACCATCAACTACGACTTTTCCCTTAAAATCCTAATTTGCTGATTATTAATAGAAAGGTAGTTGTTAAGTTTAGGTATTGGTAGGATTAGGAATGTAGAATATTGTCATGCACAATAAGTACTAATAAACAGCCAATATGTTAATAGGCATGCAATTAAGCAGCTAATTAATAGTGAGAATTGATCCCTATACTAAAGTGTTACTTTTTTTTTTTTGAACAACCATGATGGTTAAAAAAATAAATAAACAAAACTAAATGAAAACACACACACACACACACACAAAACAACAACACTTTTTAAACTGCCACGGAAACATGGCGCTTTAAATATGATGATCAAGGGACCTTGTATCAAAACCCATTTATACAGTAAAAATTAATAAATGGGTTTTGATACAAGGTCCCTTGATCATCTCTAGATTCCTAGACACACACACACTACCTTTCATTTTTTTAAATAAATGCATGCCACTTTAAAGGCACAATATGTAATGTGTAATATGTTTATTAAAATACCCAAAAACCACTAGAACGGAGTTATATATTTTGCTGACTTGTGTACTTACATTATCCCAAATGTTTCGAAGAATGTTTAAATCCAGAGAAATAAGCAATTTTAACTAGTGACACGGACCGTGTCCATAGTGTCATTGTGTCGCCTGCCAATGACGTCATAACCCCTCGATTTCCTGTTTTGTAGAAAACATGGAAACACCAAAGACGCTTTAATATGTTGTGTGTTTTATTAGACCGATGAAGACCGCACAGTATAGCATTATAACAGAACTTTCAAATGTATCTAGTATGATAAAACAGC